GCTATTAGTCGAATTTGAATCAAGTCGGGAAAATGTATTCCGTTTCCATTTGTTTCTTTAACACTTCGTCAGAGCGCGCGCGAGAGAGAGAGCGAGAGAGAGAGAGAGAGAGAGAGAGAGATAGGAGAGAATGGGGAGATGTTGATGCGTCGGAGCAAACACGCGATTACACTTATAAAATTGACTATATTGAAAAATTGGCTAATTTTTAACAAAGTTTATTAAATTTTCTTTTATAGCAAATCCTTTGAGATGAAATGCTGACATGTCGAGTTGGATGGATACGAGCTAATTTTACTGGCAGTAATCTTCGTAGTTTTTCTGAATAAGTCACTGAATAACAATGCTTAGTACATGTATCCGTGTCTCAAGTGTGTAATACATAAGCTATGATTTAAACTTTTAGGCAAATATTAACTTTTACTGCATTGGTATAAATAGTTTACTATATTTTCATGTTTTTGCGTATGTCGCTCATTATGTAAATAATATTTAATATTTAATATTTAACTATTGTAATATCTCAAGTTGATTATAATATTGCGACACGTTACATCAGATCATGTTTCACGTGCGCATTACAAGAGGCCTGATTATAAAACAGCGGAACTGCAAACACTCGGGTAAAACATAGAACTACTAAAATTACGACCAAATCCTGGTAGCAATTCCATGATTATAAATAGCGGACTGTCGGACACCTTGTAACAAATATAGATCATCCTAAAAAACGACAATTAGAGTGCAACAACATTTTTAGATAAAAATAGAACGTCAAATCAAATGTACACCTAAAGATATACGTGATGTCCTAATGTGTGTAAAGGCAGATGTTAAAAGATGAGCTTTTTGACTGAAGGCGTTTTAAAAGATATCAGCGACTTTTTCACATCGAGATATGACAAGGTAAGCTTAGTGTCCACTAATTTTTGGGAGCAGTCTGATGAGAAAGCTCAATCAGCCAAGTGTAGGCCAACAGTGTTTTACAGCTGGTGGCTCAATTAACATTTGTGGTTACCAGAGCGCGAGATGTAACCCGATTAGGTTATTAATGTGGACTAACGTTCCCTCCTTGATATAGCTCTGGTGACATACCAATGTAAGTGCCTTAAAAAGAATGATGGGTAGTAGTTTAAAACTCTATACGAAATAGACCTGCGCAGCCAAGTGCAATGATAAAAACCAGGTGATTATTGACTCAAACTTGGATACATTGCATAGTAAGGCCGAGGCACTGCATTTTGGAACTCGGCTGTGAACTTGTTCAGTTGTACCTGGGCAAGCCCATAAAGTAACTTTGCAGCAGTCAATCACCGACTGAGTACCGAATGGCGTCGAAGATTAGAATTTTTTTGAGTTCGACGTAGAAAAGTAAACTTTCGGATTTCCTGCTAATATTCATGAGAGAGTGGAAAAAATGAAGTACTGCGCAGAGTTGTAGAAAACATGAGTCTCCATCGTTAGCCGCGAAATCAAACCAGGCAACGCCAAGTTTTCCTGTCACGGATACTTGGCGAGATGTTGACAACTCGCCCGACAGTTGGAATATGAGTCAAATGTCCCTCTCTATGCTACAGTTGTTGGCGGGTACCTGATGATGAGGAATTCCGTCTTTGTCGTCGTTCAACATTAGCCGATCAGCAAGCATCCAGTCACTTAGGATATCCTTTTTGCATACGAGGTTTCCATCGCAGAGACAGGTGTTTG